AATCCTTCCTCCCTTTAAATAAAGAACATCAGGTAAATCAATTAAATACTTTTGTTTAATTGGCCAATCTGTTCTGGGTAATGCAAGAAATTCAGGGCCAGACTGCCACAAAGAACTCTGATTTAGAAGCTCTGGTCTACATCCGCGTGTAAGTAAATCAGCTATATTTAATTCTGAAGGTATCCAGTACCACTCACTTGGATCAGTTTTTTCTTGAATTTCAGAAACACGATTAGCTACAAATGTGTTAAATCTGAAAGATTCCTTTTGAATCTGAGATCTTACTATTTCTGAGTCAATGAGGTGAGTGACAGAATCAAAGTTGAAGTCCATTTCCTGTACAATGAAAGCTCTGAGACGACACGCAAGCACAGCACTGCATAATTCAATCCTGGGGATCGTCATCTGACGAATGGGAGCTAGCTTACATTTAGATGCAATTAAATGACTGATAAAGGAGTCGTCTGATAATCCTCATCTCATATAGGCCACAGCCCCATAAGCCTTTGAACTTCCATCAGCAAATATGATCAAATGTGGGTTACCCTTTGAATTGTGAGGCTTGAGACAACGAACAAACCTCAAACATCTCTCGAAAGAGCATCTTTCATTCATTATTCATATGAGAGCTAACAGCATAATCCCAACCAAGTTTCTTGTCACAGTTACCAAGGTCTAATACAAGCTCCCTCATCAAGAGCTTAGCCTTTAGCGTGAAAGGAGCAATTAACCCCAATGGATCGTAAATGCTTGATACCTGACTAAGTATCATCCTTCTTGTCAATTTCTCTGGTAATTCATTTTCAAGCTTATCTTTTGTAAGATCAGGTGCAGTATGCAATTTTCTGATTCTCTTAGAAAGATTTATACGTACTACAAAGAAAAATAAATCAGATTCAGGATCCCAATTCAACCCCAGGACCTTTTCAGTATTAGTTTCTATAATGCTTGAACAGGAGTTTACACAATTATTACCACCCGACATCACCCACTGTTTTATCTGAAAACCTCTTTGCTTAATACACGATCAATGTCATTCATTATGGTCTTGGCTGCCTCATGGCTATCCACACTAGCCAATAAGTCATCTACATAAGAGTCTTTTTCAATCAGTTTGGTAGCTTCTGGGTAATTCTTACACATTTCTGCTGTCTTACATAAAGCAACCATTGCAATCGCTCCTCCAGGTTTATCACCAAAAGTAACTGTCGTTAAAGCATAATGACTTGGACTTCTTTCCGTATTCATTTCTCTCCACAAGAATCTATGGCAATTCTGATCGAAATGGCCTATCTTAACTGAAATGTACATTTTCTTAATGTTTCCTATAAGCCCAATAAGCCCTTGACGGAATCTGAGAAGTATGCCTAAAATATTATTAAGGCAATCGGGTCCCTTAGCTAGAAAATCATTTAATGCAAATCCCATATAAGGCGCTGAAGAATCAAATACAATTCTCATGGGTGTTGACGTTGAATCATATCTAAGAACTTCATGATGAGGAAGGTAAAACACTGGCCCTTTATACAAGATTATCTCTTCGTCCGACATCTTACGAACTACCCCTCTTTTAACTATGTCCTGTATTTGTTCATTATACCCTTTGTGAGTATTCACAGACAAGCTTATTTAACCTCTTCTCAGTCGACCTCAATCTTGCCTCAGCTAATGACATGTTATTTGGTAATTCACTAGGATTTCTGATCCATGGATAGTCAGCCACCCAACATTGGTTAACCTCATCATAATTCAATCCATCCTCAATCAGTTTCAGTTCCCTTTCTTCCTTCAGCGTCATATGGCTTTTCAGAGAACACTTGCCACAACGACACCCTCCACACTTCGGAGAGCATTCTATACCTAGTTCTCCACTCATGAAAAAGCATTCCATCATTCTACCAATATTTTTCTTGGATTTGATCAAGTATTCATCAGACTGTAAACAAGCAATGTGATTTACCTTTGCATGTAGCTGATCACTGTTATGGGGCAAAGGACCTAGATAACCTCCGATACAGTAACCAAAATTATTATGCATAAGCTGTAAATTTCCAACTGTTTTTACCACTTTTGGTATGAGCACGCAGTAATCTGATCCAATAAGCAAATCAATTTTGCCACTAGGTCTCTGAATCTGATTAGGATTAACCCCAAAAATACGAGCAATTTCCGTCATATCCAAATCCTTAATTTCTGAAGTGATATCATTAAAGCCAACAGCCTCCACCAACCATTGTTTACCATTATTATCAATCAAAGGAACATTATATATTTTGCTCTCTACTCTCTCTTTTTGATTCCCTATTTTGGTAAGACTTAGGTATATTTCCGAACCCTTATGGCCCAATTTCTTGGCAGCTGCATGGGTGATCATAGTTAAATTGCTACCAGCATCAAAAAGTGTAGACAAGTTATATGAGCCACTACTAATTTTACTTATCATTAACAAAACACCTTCTCTATCCATAAGGTTACTCGAAGCTTGAACAATATATAAGTT